TTTTGAAACAACTATTCAAATGAATCAATGTTCTAAACCTTTCTCATACAGATTTGAGCGTTAACATACTCTACTATAAATTAGGACTTTGTCTCAAAGTCTGCATATGTACTAATTAACTTAAGGAGCATAAATCTGGAATTTCTTTCTCCTATAAATATTTCTTTCTAAAAATTTGATTAGAAAACAAAAAGGAATCATGCCGTTCATTGTATATAATTGTCTGCAACGAGGTCCGCTCCATTAACACAACTCCACTGTTGGACTTCAGTCCAAAACAAACCCCTATACGTCAACGTTTCAACCCTAAACAACAAGATGAGAGAAACAAACACAAAATATAGAGTAAACCGATTGGCATGAACGAATAATACAAAATAATATTAAACTTCTCAATAAATCTTCTGACTTAATCGTTATTATTGCTCTAGAAGAAGGGAAAGGAAACAGGAGGAAGCATCAACCTTAACGTATTAGTGGGGGTCAAACCTGTATTAATTAACTAATTGATAACAACTGCATCATTGGAATAATTAAAGGTTGAATAACTACTTGCTGGATTTAATAATTAATTAAATTCCTTGTTAGTGTGCCAAACCCATTATTATCCCTTAGTGCCGTTCAAGCCACAATCCACTACACAAACAACTACATAATAATTTGTTGATGAAAGCTACATAATTTTTTAATTCAAACTTCGTGCCTACAAAAAAAAACATATTCAACGACTTAATGTTGCTCTAGCCAGCGGGTGTCTTGATACCCTAGCCTTATGGTTTTATTTTAACTAAATGCAAACATTTCATCCACTACTAGTATATAGGTTTCAACTCAAGTTTCATTGGGTAATTATGGTGACAAATTTTGAATCTAGAGGCCTTAATTCCAACATTCATAAAACTTAAACATCCATAGGCCGAACCAGCCTATATTGCCATTGTCCCAGGACAGGGGTAATATTTGGTTGGTAAAAAATACTCTACATATATGTGTACCCAACACCTACAAGTAATATAAGGATATTTTGCCACTACATCATAGCTCATTACTTGTTTAATAGTTGATTAAAAATAAATAATTTATGTGTTCCATTCATAATAATTATTCGATAATAGCTTGTTGGGTATTCATGATGTTATGAGATTTCATTAATTGAAAGAAATTGAGGAATTATCTCGAATAATGATGGAGACAAAAGTACATAAGTCATATCCATCAATTTATTTGCTTCTGAAATTAGTTTTGATTCTACCAGTTGCAACTGTAAGTGTAGAAATAACATTTTTAGCTTGAACTATACTAATATCAAGTTTCGAAGTCGATTTGACGATCAGTTTGCTCATGATTGTTTAATAGGATACATTGAAAGATGTTTACTTAAGAGTATAGACAATGAATGTATTTATCATTGCTTTGAGAGTATGAAAATTCATCATAGTTGTTTATGCAAACATCAATGTATTAGCCGATTATTTCTTATTTTATATTTTGAAAAAAATGACGGGGTTGTTTCAAATCCTACCTCCGCCTCATCTTCCCGTTGTCCGGTTGAGACACACATGCAAAAATACACATTTCATAAAAGGCCACACTGGTTGGAGAAGAAGAATAAGACTGAAAAATCGAGTGAAAATCACCTAGCACAAAGACAAGAAGAGCATGAACATGGATAGACACTGAAAAGAACAAAGAAAGGGGGGTTTGAGCTATTGTCACACACTAAAAGTAGCCAATGTCAACCCCTAGAAGGCAGCAAAAAAAAAACAAAGAGTTGAGGCTAGAGAGAAATGATACTAAATCAAACACTCACAAAAATCAATACATTTTCGAATTCGAAGAAAATCTTCCCAAATATTATATCAAACAAATTACATCCAAACCTCGAATATCAATTGGGTACTCATGGAATTAGGTATCTTGTCGTCCATAAGAAGAATACATTAAAGATTAACCCCTTATGATCAGAGAATCTAGCATGTTAAATATTGAAGCAAGTACAGATGAGTTACATGGTAAGAAAGTGTTTTTTTTTTCTATACAACTTACTTATAAATAGATTACCTATTTAAATGTTTCGTTACACGGTATATTGTTGATAATTTACTCCACGTATTTTTTTTATCTTCCTATCAGATGCTAAAACGGCTTTACTAACCTAAGCTGTTGAAATTAAGTGAGTACTGTTTTGGAAGTATTGATACCTAAAACTTTTCATCTTTTGCTTCCAGAAAAAAATAAAAATCAAAAGAGTTAAATTACATTTTGTCAAATGTTCCACTTGAGAAGCTTCGCATGTAAAAACAACAAGTAGGCTACAAAACTAATTACGTAGAATTTGGACCTTTTTCTGGATTAATTATAATAATTAAGCTTCTAATCACGAAAGTCTACTCGTAATTTTGGACCCTACCCCCTGGATTAGTTAGGCTTAGCTTATAACTCCATTTTCCACCTTTTTCCATCCTATCTAGGGTTTAACGAAAAGGATTATAATTATAACTCCAAACGTTGAAAATGTGGCACATCCCCTCCAACCGGCCCCTCTTTAACGTTTTCCTGACCTTCATTTTCCCTCCATCCTCACACTAACAAACCATGTATATGCTTATAAGTTATAACCACGCTATCAAAGTTGGTTCAATACATTTCGGTCATCAATTATGCAAAATACATGCGATAATCCTCTTTTATAGAGTGGATTTCAGATATTTCCTATTCCAAGTATTCAAGATTGCATTATTTTGATGTAATTGCAAGATGGGAACCTCACTCGGGCAATTATTCTCTCTGGTCACTAGTTGGATTGATGATCAATAGTTCTGTGACTCCTTTCACTCTTTGTTCATCATAATGAGTAAAGTCATTAACAAGTCTCGAATCTCGATTAAAACAATCAGGACCCTCTTGAATCGATTGTGTAGAGAGAATTTATCCTCCACTAAGACAACCGACCAAGAAATTCGATCTAGACTCCCTCTATTGGATTGATACCCAATAAAAAGGAATGAATCGACTCAATCTCGTGCAATCAATCTCCTACTTCCGATCGATGTTTGCACTATCAACCTAATCATATTTTCTCCCTCTTAGGTCAAAAAAGAAATCAATAGTACCCGATCAAGGCAAAATCGATGAAGTAAAAATTCATAGACTGGATATGAACTCGAGTTTAGAAAGTTAGTAATCATACAATCATCAATTCAACAGAACATAGCTAGGGTTCCTCAGACTCAACTGAAAGGAAATTTAGTCCATGGAGAGAGATAGAGAAGACGAGGATTGACTTTATGATGATGGAAATATACTTTTGATCTTCAATCTCGTCTTCTAAACTTATCCTTGAGCTCCAATGGGGGTATAAAATCACTCAACTTGGCTCCCAAAACTCTATGGAATCGCTCTCCATCTGTAGAATCACTCCTTCTCTAGGTTCGTGCTTTGAATGTTTGGAAGTCTCAAAACCTTATTCCTCTTTTAGAAATTTGCATACATCTTTCAAAAAATTTAAATTGGATGTTAGCAGCCATATATGTGTTCTCAGTCATTATTTTATTGTCAAGTCAATATTACTAACAAAATTGCTAACAAAAAATTAATTTAGACTAATAATACTAACAAAACACCATAACGGGCCACATAATACATGCCCATAGACCATCTCCACGACAAGTTGCGCCATCGCCACTAGTAAAAGTATAAAACAATAGCTAATAAAATGGTAAGGAAATAATGAATATTGTGGTGAATTGAATGCCTCCCATCAAATTCAGAAATTCTATGGCTTGTAGTTTGCAACGACATTGACTTTGAATGGGATGTCCCCTGCTTTGTCAAATCTACATATATATATAATATAATTTCAACGTTAAATCTTTTGCAATTTTACGAGATCAAACCAAATCTTATTTTACCTCTTATAGAACCCAACTATTAAAATCTAATTATATTTTGGTCAACAGTTTCTGAAATTAAAAGCCTATAATAAAACTCCATTCTAAATCACAAGTGTATATATATATAAAGGGTGGAAAATCACAATTCACAAGTCTATTAATTAGATTGGAAATTAAAGGGGGTCAAACACATGGTGGAGAAATAATATTTGAGAGGGTGGACTATTATTACTACTTATATAATTCTGGGTGGGAGACAGTGAGCGAGGTAGAGTTGACTTTCTCATCTTTTAATGCAAAAAAAAAAAAAAAAGTCTTACGTACAAGCAGCTCGCTAGGGCAAAGCACAGGAGGTAAGGTCGCGTGGGACCCAGTTATTATTAGGGTAGCAAGCTCTTCTTTTTCCCTTTCTTTCTTGGAGGTTTTCTTTCTCCCTACGTAATCATTTTACACGCCTGGATAAAATAGAAAATTTCAGCACTCAATCATAAATGGTAGGAGATATTAACCAAGAAACTAAATAAATATACATTTTTTCAAAATATTTTTTATTTCGTAAATGGAGTTAAAATAAAATTCAATAATTCTAACTAATAAATCACCACACCACAGTTCCCTGTCCACCGAGAAAGAATCCCCCAACGCAACGCAACGGCTCTTCTCAATCTCAACAAAACCGCTTTTGACTTTCGCATTTTTTTGTAGCTAAATAAATATTTTTTAAATCAAAATTATTCCCTTTCCTTACCTTACACGGTGACTTTCCTCAATCCCGTTACACACCCAACACACTGGGCCCCACTCCCACCCCCTGCCAACGTCGGTCAATAATCCTAACAAATTGCCAGACACGCGTCACCCCCTCATTCGCCTCGCTCTTTGACTCCTCATTTTAACTCGAAAGCTGACAGGTCACTCACCCGGCCCGATGCCTTGCTTTCTACGGGCATCCCATCCTCTCTCCCTTTGACTCCTCCTCCCATTATTTCAATAAAAAATAAAACAAAATATATTTCTTTTTCTCTCTCTCTCTCTTACTTCACCTTGAAGCCTCGCTCTCTTCCCCTGAATCTGTGTATATAAATTCATCTCTGCCTCCAACTCCGTCTCCCCACCAGAAAGAAATAACCTCACACAGAGACGGAGAAAAAAATTAGACAACCAAAAAATGGCTGTGGAGCTGATGGGTTACTCCGCCGATGGCGGGTTCGCGGCGAAGCTACAGGAGAGTGCGGTGAGGGAAGCGGCAAGCGCCGGGATTCAGAGCGTGGAGGAGGTCATTAAGCTGCTCAACCAGCAGCACTTTTACCAGGAGGAAGCTTCCGCATCCGGCTCCTCTTCTTCTTCCGGCGGCGGCGGCGATCGGAATATCAAGGCGGTTACCGATTTGGCCGTGAACAATTTCAGGAAGGTGATTTCTCTTCTCGGCAAGCCCAATCGGACCGGCCACGCCAGATTCAGGAGAGCTCCCGTCTCCGCTTCTATCAACGCCTCTGTTTCCGTCGCTCCAAAGCAAGAGACGAAGAAGATCGTTCAGGATCAGCCGGGGCCGTCCTCTTATTCTGCGCCAGTGATTGTTCCTCCGACGGAGCAAGGGTCTGGCTCTGCGTTTAAGGTATACCAGCCGACCCCGATTCACCGATTGCCTCCCTTGCCTGCCAACCACAACAACCACCACCAGAAAGCGGCCGCCGGGGTCCTGGTGGTGAAGGAGAGGAACGAGTTAGTGCCGTCTTCCACCATCAATTTCTCGAATTCACCTTCGATCTCCGCCGCTACCTCTTTCATTTCATCCCTAACAGGGGATACGGACAGTATGCAGAGATCTATGTCGTCTTCCGGGTTTCAGTTCACCCATCCCTCTCACGGGAAGCCTCCTTTGTCTTCTTCCTCCCTAAAGAGAAAGTGCAGCTCCATGGACGACACCGCCGGCCTTAAATGCGGATCCTCCTCCGGCCGCTGCCATTGCTCCAAGAAAAGGTTCGCCTTCTTTTTTCCCCCCTTCAATTCGAACAAATGTTAAACCTATAATTGTTGAGTTATTATCGGGGAGGTTTCTGGGTTTTTGAATCTGATTCGAAAATCGAAACCTTGTTTGCAGGAAATCAAGGATGAAAAGAGTGGTGAGAGTTCCGGCAATCAGTAGCAAGATGGCTGACATCCCGCCGGACGAGTATTCGTGGAGAAAATACGGGCAAAAGCCAATCAAAGGCTCGCCGCACCCAAGGTAATGAGTTGAACTGAATCCCTGTATTTTTCCCTTTTGGAGAATCACGTCAATTATCGGTTGTGGAGCATTCAATGGAGAATGGCTGAGCGCTAAGTCAACTCTGTTTCTTTCTCCAAAACAGGGGATATTACAAGTGTAGCAGCGTGAGGGGGTGTCCGGCCCGGAAACACGTAGAGCGGGCTCTCGACGACCCGATGATGCTCATCGTGACCTACGAAGGAGACCACAATCACAACCACTCCGGCGTGAACGAGTCGTCGCCGGCGGCTATTGTTCTGGAATCGTCTTAAAGGGAAGAGCAGAGAAACAGTTGAGAAAGGACGGAGAAGTCAACTGAATCAACGCCTGGTGGAGGGAGGGAGGGAGGAAAATGATCAATCAATGTTCATTTTCCTTAGGTTGGGAGATGAAATCAGGAGCGTTGATCATTAAAGTCGGAGATAGAGAAGAAAAGTGGTGGTGGTGGTGGCAGCAGGGATAGTCAACGCTCGCAGCAGCATCGAGATAGTGGTGGGGGTGGGGCACACCATGGACGACGGCAAAAACGAAACCAGAGAGAGAAAGAGAGAGAATTAATTATTGATTGCTTTTTTTCTGGAAAACAAAAAAGCAAAAAAGAAATACATAGGATTCCTCCCTCCCTCTCTTCTCCGTGGAGTGTTCTTCTTTCTTTCCCTGTCAACTTTTCTTTTTTATTAGTTTTATTTTGGTTGGAGATTTTGTGGATTTGGTGGGTGTTGAGTCAAACAACCTAACTAGTAGTGGGTGGAGTTCGGAGGGTTTTTTATTTTTTTTAATTGTTAAATATATATATATATAATATAATACTTAAATACAGGAGATTTAGATGAATTTGGACTTTGTTTAATTTTGTCTAGTTTCCTTCCTTGACTTTTTATCCGACTCTTTAATCATATTTAGTCCTGTAATTAATAGTAGTTTGGAGGGGGTTGAATTATTTTTGTGTCATGGAAGAGGATTGTGGATGTTTTATATATATAATTCCTAATAAATTAAATATTGAAGAAGAAGAAAACGAGGATGTGACGAATCTCGAAGGAAGGAGATAATGAAGGCAGGCCTGGGGGGTTAGGGATTGAGGATTTTGTCCTTTATTTCACGAGGTGGGTATCCTTTTGTGATCAATAGTTGACTGACTGACTGACCCAATTGATATGGCAATGGCATGGCTGGCTCCAGAAGGAAGGATGCCTTGGGCAAGGGTACATAGATTGATTGGAACCCTTTTGTCCTTGTTCCCAACCCAACAATAGTAGTTCTAATTTGCCTACTTCTCTACTTATTTTATGGGAAGAATACTTGTTACTTTCTCTACCTCTTAATTACTTTGTTATTGTTCAACTATTTAGAGGACTGATTACCAAGTTATTGCCAGAAATTTCAGAGAATTGGATGTCATGTCAACCATCTTGTAGTTGATTGAGGTTGCCAACTTAAACGGGTTCTTTTCTTCTTAAATATTAGATTGTTTGCTTCAATATACTTTCTAAATCAGTTCAGCGCTGATTGATGCAACGTTGTTACTCGTGTCAAAGTTGGAAGGTTCAGATTTCATCAGCCTGTTTTTAAGTTTTCTTGGATCGGATTTCATCCGGCTCAACAAATTGATCATCATTCAAGAATTCGTATGTCCAATTTGAAGGCTCCAGCACCGAATAACAAGATCAAAAAAATCAATCACTTGTTAATATGTCTCAACGATGCTAGCCAACTAGCCATTCTCTTAAACTCATGAAATGATATAAAGATGTGTTGAGTTCCGAACCATATATTTAGAAGCATATGCTTATTTCTTCTTCTTACAAGTGGGAGACCAAAGTTTGAGGATGGATTTGATTTGATGGGTATGGAAGCTGAGTTGTGAAGATCTGATTTTATTATTTGCTGTGTTGGGCTGAGAATCTTTGGGACGACTTTTGAGGGAATTAAGTAGAGTGAGCTACCCCTCCCCTCCCATAGATAGATTAATTAAATTAGGGCTTAAAGTCAAAATTGGATAGAAGGAGGTAACGAGTCAAAGTCATGACTCATGACTCATGAGTAGTGCCTCCCACTTCCACAAATCTTTTTCTTCGCTTCCAGCATTATGTTTAAATAATAACTAGGTGGCAATGTCGCGCCATGTCGAGGGGCAGAGATGGCCTATGAGCATGTATACCATTATGGTATTTTGTTAGTACTGTTAGTCTAAAATTAATTTTTCGTTAGCGATGTTGTTAAAATGTTGACTGAGAAGAGATATATGGCGGTCAATATCCAAATTTTTTACTTTAGCTAAACCCAAGTAAACCCATTGATTATAGCTGGGGTATGAGTGACGTATATATGGGTTTGAAAGTTTGTAGATGGAAGTTTATATTCCTTTTTCTTCTCTCCAGAGAGTTTCTTTTTCACACGCGCTAGAATTTTCAACAAATATACATGGAATGTTTAGCTAGATATCTACACATATCAAATCTCATAGTTGAAAATGACGACTTTCCAATAAGTAATAACCATATATATTATTTTTAATTGGACTTGACATTGAGTTGAAAAAAGTTAGTGGTTAATAGTTCAATTATTAGTTCTCTAGACTGTTGGTGAGTCATGTATGGACCCGTTCATACTTGTGATTACAATACATAAAAATAGTATACTCATTAGGGTAATTAGACGAAGAAGGCAAAGAAAGAAATAAAGAAAGGGTTATGGAAGGCGAGGGAAAAATGAAACAAAAAGGATTAGATTATAAAAAGGTTTTGACCAATTCTTTTAGTTAGCCGTCAATACAATAGTCAACCCTTTTCACCGTAGCAATTTATCGACAGTCGCTTATGTAGATGTCGCATATTTTATTATATGTAGATAGTAGAAGTTTGTTTAGTACCCCATAAATGTACTCAATGAGTTTATAAATTCGCTCTTGCAATATTTTAGAGTCGTATCTCTTTTATCATTTATTTAATATTCACATAATGAGCAAATATAAAATGGTCGAATCTTCTCCTACAGTTGAGTGATACAATATCTTGTATTGTACAAACTAAATTTATAATTTTATGTTATGGTGGATTAGATTCATGAATTGGTTCGAGAGGATTGGTGGATTGGATTCATGGACTCAAGTGAAATATAAACATTGGACAAATATGTAAATTTGAAAAAATTATAGGTATGAAAATCTCATAAAATTATATACCAAAACATAATTGTTCAATGATTTCATATTAAAATTAAATTTGGGGTAACAAATAAAAAAATTATATTATAGTAACTAAGTTGTGACTTAATTAAATTTGAGGTATCAAAATGTACATTATTTGGCAACAGTAACCTAACTTCCACTTTATATATGTTAATGTCTAGTTTTAGGTAGCCAATTCACAGAGTGGGAGTGAGAGCGAGACCGGGAACGAGAGCGTGAGAGCGCCTATTTTTGAAGAACTCAATATTTAGAGCGCGATAAGAGTGTAATATTATATTGATTAATTAAATCAATTTAATCATTTTTCACAAGAAGAAAAACATAATAATATATTATAAAATAATAAGTAAACATAAAAAAACTAATACTTTATATGTTAGATCTTTATCCCTTTATATTTCCTACCCTACATTTTCCACACCCCCACCTATCTCTGTAGCCTTCTGCTCTTCATCATATTATTCTCTCTCCCTCTCCCTGCAATCTGTCCTCAACAAAATCGATTGAAAAAAACCCCCGATCCATATCAATCTCAACCTTCAAATCTCATATTACCCTTTTGTTTGTTCAATTTAAATCCCTTCTCGCTCTCTGGAGTGTGAAAATGTGACCGACACAGGAAACGCCGGTGGCAGGGAGGACGTCGCGAGCGACACCAGGAGGAAAGTTTACAGATCTGGTGGAGGAGGATTCGAGTTTTGACAAACAGAGGCAGAGAGGAGACTCAGAGTCCTTCCGGTGGCGGTTAAATACCACTTCCACCGCTGCCCAGTCTATTTAAATCAGCTTTAAGTTTTGGCTTCATCTTTCTCGTTACCATTCCATTTTTTGTTGCATGCACCACTATATCAACTGACTTCAGTCCTTCAATTGGTGGTCGGCATGAGTTTGAAGAAGGGCTTTAAACACGTTCGGGTGGAGATCCCAACCGATAATTTCACCACTTAAAATTGAAGTTAGTGTTGATTGGAAAGGTAGGGAAGAGGAATAACTTGAGTTCTTGAAAAAACCGCGTTCTCAAAATAATAGTTCGCGCTCTCAGAAAACAAAATTCGTGACTTTCCATAAAATTCGCGCTTTGACGGAACAGAGCGGGAACGTGAAGGGAAAGTAGCCGAATTGGGTGACCTAAGTCTAGTTGTTGTTTATGCCAAAATGTCAAATGCTTGCTTACTTGCACCCAACTTTAACACCCCTCATATTCGGCTTCATTAGTCAACTAGAGATGTTTTCTAATCCTAGCCAAAGCAAAGCAAAAGTAAAGCATCCCCTTCTCTATTCTAATTCAAAAATTAGAAACTAATCCCAACTCAATTTCCCTTAAATGAAACTAAAATACTTGATTCCCCCTTTGATATGATTTCTACTACTCTTTGTAGATGGACAGTGCCCAATTTGAAGGCTATCATATGGAGTCTTATCATATGGAGTCTATGGAAGGAGAGAAACAACCATCTATTCAGCAATTATAAGCTCGAAGAATAGGAGATTGTTGGAAATTCCTTGTGTCTTGTCATGCAAAAGCAATCAGACAAAGAAGATGGGATGTTAGCTTGGACTAAGCCGTTGCGGGGAGTGTAAATGTGAAGGTTGATGCAATAAATTTTGCGGGTGAAGGCACCAATAATGGGTCAGTAGGGAGATATTCCACTGGAGTTTGTCGTCCCACGATAGTGAAGCGAGAGAGACAACAGTGGTCGTTGAAACTTGGAGAGATGATGACGATTTTTTTTTTTTTGTCTGCAAATATTATAACTGCACAACTTTTTCTCAACTAGCATAGTGACAGATGGTCAATCATCATTTTGTGAAGACGAATCTACCTTTATAGCCACACACAATTCAGTATGTACGACATTCATCTAATTGTTTTATCGTAAATTTGGATGCATTTGATTGTTTGTTTATATCTCTAACTTGTTATTAAACATATATTTTCTTTGGAGAATGCATGCTTGGATTAAAAAAATTAGGCAACTTCTTTATCTAAGCATCTATATCAACTTTATTGAACCATACAAGATGTGTGACACTACCGACTTTGTTTTCCATCATGGTTTCCATTGTATTATTATGAAGGCAATCTTGTTACGTAAATATACAGAGTGAAGAAGTTAGTATGGATAGGGATTATGTTTCATATTTTGAGCTCGAATTGGTGACTACTCAATACTTCCACTATTTTCAAGTTGATAGAATGTGGTACATGTCATCTTTATCAACCTATGAAGTTGGGTTGTTTGAGATAAAGTCAGATAGTTATGTGATGGATGGGTTGCTGCCAGGACTTGAGAACTGGCAAATTATCATCTACTTGGAATGCACCAAAGACTTGGTTGTTGTTGGCGACAATGTAACAAGTATTTGGTGTTCAAAGGATGAACATGAAGATGACAGTGAGGGATCTATGAACCGTGATATAATGATATAATTAATCTAATGAATAACGACAGTCGTACATCAAATGATGATTTTTTGGAAGCCATGGAAATCTAGGAGTCCACCAAAATATGATTCGTACTAATGAATGTTAATCGAGAGAAGAGGTTGAACTATTGAACCCGTTTGAAGACATCCCAACTCGCTAGCAAGGAGTTATTATAGATGGAGATGGAGATGCAAATGTTCAA